CCCTGCAGAGCTGCTGCAGGAGCACAAGGCCAGGCTCCAGGATTTATGGCAGGGGCTCCCCAGCCCTGCTCACAGAGAGCTGAGCTGCTGAGCCGAGCTCTGGCTCCCTCTGCCCTGGGCACAGGACCCGGGTGGGGCTGTCTGAGCATTGCCAGGAGCTCCCCAGTCCTGCCTGCACCAGCAGACACTCCMTGTGCTGCCACTGGCACATCTGTGACCTGGGAGCAGAGCTGGCACCAGAGGAGCAGGGAGGGCTTGTCCTCATCCACCACTCTCGGCTCAGCTCTGACTGCTTCCACCCCAAACAAGCAGAGCACTCYCCAAGAGCCAGAATGTGCCATTCCCTGATTTTATCCCCAGAMTCCAYAGCCATTCTGCTGTTYCTGCGTGCCAGGGGCCACCTGACAYRGCCCACCTGCCACAGGGCATGTGCTGGGCACCAGGGCAGCCTCATTTCCTGACACATTTCCTCAGCAGAGCCTCAGCTGGATTCACATCCTCCCCCTTGACCAGTTACTCAAAGTCCTYCGTGATTCAGAGCTCTGCCTCGCCATCGCTGGAATACTAATGAGGGAAATGTTGATTTATTGAAGCCCTGATATGTCACTGCTGGATTAAACAGTCTATAAAGTATATTTGGACACATTACAGGATTAGAAGAATCCGCCTGGGAAGTTCTTTTCCTCCTTCCTCTGCTCTCTCACATAAAAAACTCAGTTTCAAGGACGTGGCACACATACACGGTGGGCACCACCAAAACCCAGCCCCCCCTGCCATCCCCGCAGAGAAAAACCCCACCTTTCAGTAGTGGTACACCTTGATCTCTCTGTTTTCATCCACTCCCAGCTGCAGGAGGCTGGGGCTGCTGCCTGGGGGTTTCTGTGGCTGCAGGGACAAAGGTCTGACAGCTGGGTGAAGGAAAAGCCAGGCTCAGCAGGAATTGGCACAGACAGGACAGGTACCACCCTCCATTCTGCACTATTTGGTCCGTATTTTTAAAATTCTCACACCCCCAGCTCGAGCTGCTGCTTTACAGCAGAGCAGCATCACTGAAGAGCTTCAGAACACAACCAGGGAAAGGGAATGGGAAAGGGAAAATGGAAAAGGAAAGAGGAAGAGAAAGAGAAAGAGAAAGAGGAAGAGGAAGAGGAAGAGGAAGAGGAAGAGGAAGAGGAAGAGGAAGAGGAAGAGGAAGAGGAAGAGGAAGAGGAAGAGGAAGAGGAAGAG